TATACTTATGATGAAAGGGGAAGCAATTTCTTTATATATTTATTTTCTTTTTCTTTACTATATTCTTATTTTTCTTTTCTTTCTATTTCTTTTCTATTTTCTTTTTCTTTTCTACACCTTCTATTTTTTCTTTTTCTTTTTTAGTTTGCATTCGTTTTTTATTGTTGTAATTTTTAATTAAATTACTATTTAGGAGCATACTGATGATACTGAACCCCAAATTATGCAATGACCTCACTTAGCATTTCATGTAGAAAAGGAGGGGAGGGAGAAAAGAACCATGTGACACCCTAAAAGGGAAGGGCCTAGGGTGCAATCTCTTCCCCCCTCCCGCTCCAAACAACACTGACTGGAACTGGTCCCAGAGAAAGGAAGGGAACCACAAAAAAATAAATAAAATGGTTTATGTTTAACTCAGCCTTCCTTAACCTAATGCTTTTCAAATCTATTGGGATTACAAATCTCAGAACTCCCAGTTAGTAAAATCAAGGGCCCATTGACTAGGAATTGTAGTTATGGGGATTGTAATCCAATGTATCAGTACATGGGAAAGCTGAATTAAACAGATTTCGTATATACAGTACGTCCTTGATCCATTTATAAATTAGACTTCATTTATGAGGCCAGCAATAAAAGAAAGAATTGCAGGTAGTCCTTGCTATCCAACCACAATAGGGACTGGAATTTAGGTTGCTAAGTGATTTGGTTGTTAAGCAAATCAGAGCTGATTTTACTACTTTTTTATGATGGTTGTTCAGCAAATCATCGTGGTCGTTAAGCAAATCGCCACAGTTGTTAAGCAAATCACATGGTCATTAAGCGAATCTAGCTTCCCCAATGGACTTTTTTTGTCAGAATTCACTTAACGATCACATGGTTTGCTTAACAACCATTGTAAAAAAGGTTGCAAATTGCAATCACGTGATCACGGAGGTCATAAAGCACTTTTCCCAAGGCCATCGTAACTCCAGACCATCGTTAAACAAACGGTTGTTAAGCGAAGACTACCTGTAGTCTATTTTCCTCCTTTCCCCACTTAATTGCTAAAAGTTACAAGGATTTATTTTTACAGAGCTAAAATGAAGTTCACAAAGTGCTGTAGGAAAGTTATATGCTGTGAAAAATAATTGCTTTTCTTAAAAATTTGCTTTTAATGGTGTTACAAAAAAATCAAAGATGGGGAAAGCTAGGGTATCTCTAACAAAATATGAAGACTATTATTTCTTTTAAAGATGAGAGTTTGATGGATCCTCATGTGTGCTTGTTTACAGAACTGGATTTATATAATACTCTAAACCATGGTTGGTTGTCTAGATTCCAGTGACTGAATTCATACATAATACTAAACTATAATACTTGTTTTTACACAACTTACTGACCCCAAACCAAACAGATTATATAACGGCTTGGTGCAATGCATTTAGCATGCCCCAGAGGGTTGCTGCATGAAGGTAAGCAAACTGAGTCTCATGTAAATGAATCCTGATCACAAATCACTTATAATTCTCAAGTTGTGTCTTCTTGAAGTTCCTTGCACTCCATTTCTCACAATATAGCAAATACAACCTTATGTTCATAATTGACTATATAGCAAATACATGTACACAAGCGTGCCCATGGTTAGTTCCCCAAGTAACCAGTTTCTCTGATGTTCAAGCAACAATCAATGTTTCTCCCAAATATAGATGCAGTGGCAGTTGTCAGACAGTAGACTAGTCAGAATAGATTGGTGCTTCAGGTTGAACAGAAGTCAGATTGTTTCAGACAGCAGGGAAACAGAGATGTATGGAAGGGAAGGAAGCTAACAATTTTTTGGAAATACTCTTATGGAAGTAACAGCAGGTAGTATTAAGACCTATTAATATAATAAAAACAATGTTGAAATGGCTCCAGGAGTAAGAGAGAGAGAGAGAGAGAGAGAGAGAGAGAGAGAGAGAAACAAAAACAAAGTAATACCAGAATGACTAGAGCTCAACTCCTAATGACTACATTGACACACCATGTTGGTTCCTTGGCAACAGTATGGCATAAATAGTTGTTGATAGGAGCAGATTGAAATATTGACAAAATAAATTTAATAAGTATACATCTATTTCTTTTAAAATTGTCCCATCATTTTTGCTTCTTCAAAGCCCATTCATCTACTGGTCACATGGTTTTCTTTTCTTTTCTTTTTCTCCTTGGTGTTTGAAAATGGTATCCTCCACCATTCTCTGAGATATATTGTATTTTGTGCTTATGTGTTGCATTTCTAAATCCCAAATGCACTCAACCCCTTGGGGATGTAATTACTTATCTTAACAGCCAGTGAGTAAATGTGGGCAGGATAAGGAGAGGTCTAGAAGCTGTTTCAGTGGTAGTGAAATCATGTGAGAAATTGTCCACTTAATCCACTTCTTCTTTTAGGAATAACCAAGGAAAATCTGACCAAAGTGGTGTTTCAGTGGCAGAATATGCAGTTTTAATAGTTCTTCCTAGCTCTGTAGACCTTTATGCAGATTAGAATGCCTTCAAAAGGATGAGCAGAGAGTAAAGTGGAATATTCTTATTGTGGCACACGGAAGTAGAAATGCTATTAATAACACTTGTTTTTCTTATTCTTCCAGATCTACAGTGGAAGTCAGGGCATGTGGCAGAGAGTCTGACAAATATGCCTCGGCATTCTCTTTATATCATAATTGGAGCTCTGTGTGTAGCATTTGTCCTGATGCTGATCATTCTAATTGTGGGGATCTGTCGCATCAGTCGTATTGAATACCAAGGTTCATCTAGGCCAGCCTATGAAGAATTCTACAACTGCAGGAGCATTGATAGTGAATTCAGTAGTGCTATTGCTTCTATCCGACATGCCAGGTATGCTTGGGGAAAAAGAAAATCCTTTTTTTGACGAAACAGCAGGTTGGATGAAAAACCAGTGTATACTGTAAGGAAAGGCCTCAGTGATGGAATGCTTCTGAAGTAAAAAGATTTTGAGAGATAAAAAATAAATATGTTAGGGAACAAAATTAGGCTGCAGTCTGTTCCCTGAGCTCTATCTATACATTTAAAAATGGCTATACAAGCTTTTTAATATATAAGCTGTCTTCTGCAATTTGAGAGCCAGATTACATGATATGTAAGTATTTTTGATTGGTCAGTATTATTTTCCTAATATATACACATTCATGCACAAACATACTCAGATGGTCAAGCAACAGTTAAATAAGAAATATAACGATTAAATCAATATAGAATAACATTTTATTCTTTATATCTTTAATATGCCAGCGTAGATTGTAAACTCAACAGTGATAGCCTTCATGAATAGCAATTTTAAACTTTATAGATCATGTTTGTTTGTTTGTTTATACCTTTTTGGGGGTACCTTTGGGTCAGTGTTGATTCCTGGTGATTGCCTGGACAAGTCCATGCAGTTTTCTTGGCAAGATTTTGGGAGTGGTTTGCCATTGACTTCTTCCTTGGCCTGAGAGAGAGTGACTGGCCCAAGGTCATTCACGTTGGCTTTGTGTCTAAGGTGGAACTAGAACTCATGGTTGCCTGATGCCTTAACCACTACACCAAGCGGCTTCCTATGTATACTTATATACATACTGTACGTAGATACATACACCTTATGGGCAGCCCAACACCCAACAACTCTGAGCACTTATAGATTCAGCTAACTAAACTTAACCATGTCATATAAAGCTGTAGGTAACGAATGGTGTATCTAAATATCCCCCCCCCCAAACAAACAAAAATAAAGTCCTGACTATATTCTGCCAAAGAAAATGGTTAGGAGAAGTACAGGTTTTATATATAGTGGAGGTGTTTTTTTCAAAGCGTGATCTTCAGAACTTCACCCTCCACTTGTATCCAGCAACAATACAATTTAGGATAAATTGTATTTTATAATTATTCTGTTGATCATATAAGCTTTCACAATGTCAGTACGCTTAAATGCTTGCTGAATCTTTTAAAAAGCACTTTAACCAATATGGAATCATATTGTGAAAACTTGGTGATGAAGTAGAGTTTTAAAATTAAGTTTTAAGTTCTGACATAATAATGATCTTGTAGATTACTGCCATGAAGATGGATGTTTTATATATGTATTACCCCACTATGACTTCTGCTTCCACTTACTTTTTTGGATTTTAGGTTTGGAAAGAAATCTCGCCCTGCAATGTATGATGCAACTCCAATTGCTTATGAAGATTACAGTCCTGATGACAAGCCTTTGGTCACACTGATTAAAACAAAAGATTTGTAATCTATTTAACAGTTGTTTTGGGGGAGGGGATTATTTTTCAAAAGGATGGGCTACTGAATTAATTCAATATTTTTAAGATGAAGCAAGTGTAAGAAATTTAAAATGTTTAGCTGCTCCAGAATTTTCTGTAGATTATTTAAGAACAGGTTTTCTGCAGCTTTTTGTTTGAAGGAAATATTTTAAACTGAATTTGTGAAATTTATTATTTCTTTTACTGTACTTTCAGCATTAGAAACTCTAATCTTAACAGTAGTGTGCTGTTGCTTTTACCAACCTCAGATCAGTACAGGCAGAATATGATATGTTAAGCAATGAAAAATTCTCCTTAATGTAACAGTGGCAGCATTCTTAGTAGACTTAGGAAAAATGTAAAACTTGATATATTCATTATTGAAAAATGAAGTCCGAAATGTTTGTGTTTGTGAAAAGGAATTTAGTAAAAAATATTATTCTTAAACTGAATGAATTAGCTTTCTCCCTCTTTTGTGCATGGATAACCTTTCTGTATTATGTTCCTGAAATCTGCTAAAACTTTGCCTTGAGTTGATGTTTGTCATTTTTGTAATGGTATTCAAGGTAAGCTTTGTAAAAATAATATGTCATTGAAGTGCCTATTAAGGCAAAAAAGGGGTGGTTCCTGTTGCTCTGAAATTAATTTCTGTTGATTTTGTAATGCTCAGGATCAGGTCTTTGTATTGGAATTATATTTTCTTTAAAAAGTCCAGGTTTTTTTAATAGTGCAAGTAAACCAAACTTATAATTTGAACAATTTGTCTCTCAAATGTTAACGTACAGTATTACTTTTGTTTACAATATTGTGTAATTCTCATAGTGCATCTTATTTATACATGTGGGATTTTTTGTGGCTCTATTTGACTGCTTATGTGTTTCAAGATTCTTGCTTATTTCAAAGAATATTGAATAAATGTGACCAATTCAAGCGGCAGCTCAGCTTCTTTCGCCTTCAGCTGTTACAACTAGTGAGTGCCCTTGAATCCAAGCCATATGTGTTATAATTATAATGTAAACCAGTCATGGTGCTTTGAGAACCAATACCATTTTATTTACGTATTTTGAACATTTTCAAATGTAACATCTTTTTGGTTGGCTAGTGTGGAGATGGCTCATATGGTTTGCAATATGAGAAACTGCCATTTGGCACAGGTGTGGATTTTGAATACAGTATAATCATGTGATAGGGTGTGTTTTCGTTCATCTCAAAACAAGACACTACAGACGCACAACTTTCATTTTCTGCTACATTTTTCTTCAGCTTTCTTTCTAGATACATATTTTCCTGCTTAATGGTGTTTGTTTTTTATGCATCGAGGTATGTACCATTTAATACCTAAATATATACTCAAGGCCAGGGGTCCTCAAACTTTTTAAACAGGGGGCCAGTTCACGGTCCCTCAGAATGTTGG